AGTTAAGTTTAAATAGCTTCTAAACTAATGTGATTGGCTCCTGTCATATCCACACCCCCAAAAGGTAAGTGTATGTGGAGTGTGGTATGACAGGGGCCAATGGGAGCCTTTTGACAATTTAGGCTCCCACTGTCTCTTTAAGAGCGCCGAGACTCGCGGCGCGCTCTTAGATTCAGGCGGGACACGTGACCGCTTCTCGCGGTCACTGCCCGCCTTGTTAGTGGAGCTGTCGGATGAGCCGCACGCGGCTCGTGCAGCAGCAGGACCGCGCGCGGCTTGAAGAGAGGACCGCGGCCGGCCCCTGGATAAGGTGAGTAACGCTACAAAGGGTTACAGAAATACTCAGAGTCAAGAACTAGCCATGGTCAATACCAGAAAAACAAATAGGAACAAGGAACGCACTAAACATGTACTAGGAACAGAAACCATGATAGGGCATAGTAAATGAAGCCAAATAACTTTATATAGTGTTAAAGGGAATTTGATGCAACATAGGAACAGCAGCTGAAGGAGAGGTGGATTTAGTAAGGAACTATGTACCCTTACTTCAGATAACATTTCGTGTTCACAATCCCATAGTTAGGGTTCTATTATTACCTGACTTCCGATGTTAAGTAAAGAGGGTTAATGTTAATCTTTTAAGTCCACATTGTGGATGAATCTATTGCAACATTATATCTATCTATTCTCTCAAATAACTGTTATAGCATATGATTTACATATTAGCAATTGTTACTTTATTCTTATAGGGAACAGTGCTTGACTCCTATATAGTGATGGCAATTTATTAGATAGCATTAACATTGTAGTTATTTGTTTTCCAGTAATAACTTACTGGTAGAGTTGAGCGGACACCTAAATGTTCGGGTTCGCCAGGTTCGGCGGAACTTCAGCAAAAAGTTTGAGTTCGGGACCCGAACTTGATCCGAACTTGACCCTGAACATTGAAGTCAATGGGGACCCAAACTTTTGGGCAGTAAAATGGCTCTAAAAAAGTCCTGGAAAAGGCAAGAGGGCTGCAAAAGGAGGTAAAATGAATGTTACACTGTATACAATTTTAAATAAAAAGTATACAAACATAGCCAGGATTCATCTGTAAGCATTTGAAACACTTACAACAATCAAGTAACACACATTCATATAAAATGTAAGTTACCTGGCCAGTCAATGTAATGACAGGAATGAATAAGTATATAACTCCCTAATTCCCACGGTATTAGAGAGCTATCTACCAAAAGGCTGAAAGACCACATTTACTAATACTAAGTAAAGATTACTTAGTATTAGTAAATTATGCCCCTACTCGCTATACTGCGAGTAGGGGCACGTCTATTAAAAAGTGAGCAGCCAACTGTTAAAAAAAAGGTTCCCCCCTCCTGAGCCCCCACCCCTGAATGGCGGGTGGGGGCCCTAAAGTAAAATAAGGGGGGGACCTATTGTCCTCCCCCCGGAATCCACCCGGCCCCCACCCACCGCCCTAAATTCGAATAAGGTTTGGGACCTAATGTCTTTCCCCCTTGCCCCCACCCATGAGCGGTGGGTGGGGGCCCTAAATAAAAATTGGGGAGGTGACCTACTAATGTCCTCCCCCATGGCCCCCACCCCTGAGCAGTGGGTGGGGGCCCTAAATACCAATTAGGGGGGTGGGGGGGGGACCTAGTTGTGATTGGCTTTGTTAAACACTTCTGAATATGTCAGCCAAGCAGAAAGATCAGGGCAGAAGCAGCTGCAGACTGGAATAAAGGTAAGATTTTGCTATATTAAGGGGGGCCAGGGGGGCTAGATGGGGGTTTTAACATGCTAGGGACAGGAATGCATGTTTGTGTTCCTGACCCTATAGTGTTCCTTTAAATTTATATACTATCAAGTCCATTTTATATATATATATTATAGAAGTATAAGTATTTATTTTGGTTTCTATTGAATTTAACTATTTTGGTTACCCCCTCAGTCCTCACTCACGACCAGTTTTGATCTCCTGCTTACCACCAGAGTCCTGTTTTTTGATTTAATCCTTGCACTATCCCCTGATGGTGTGTACTTTCCTGCAACGTCTGTGGTCCTTCTCAATTGTCAATATCGCACAGCCAGTATTTGGACTGTAAAACTGTTGAGACTCCCTAGAGATCCTACATGCAAGGCATGTATCAGTGAGTCTGTCATCTATTTTTTTTAAGCTCGGCTCTGTTTTGTTGTAATTACAAATGCCAAAAAGAATTTAAAATTCCACCATGAAAACAGCAGTATATCCTGGTACTATAATGGCGGCCATTGCTATACATGGAGCAGTGCTGCCGCTGCAGTCTTTTTAAATATGCAGCATTATACTTTTGCCCTTTATAAATACAACTTTTTTAAAATCATTATTTAAATGTGAATATTTTTAAAATGAATCGAGCAGCTCAGAAGGGATTATGTCCATTGCCTTGGCAACTGGAAAAGTTAGTCTGATTGACACTGTATTTATAAAGTTTTGTTGCTCTAAGTCTTTTATTTATTGGGATTTTGAAACCCTATGCCCAAGAAACACATTACAAAACTATGGAACCCACAGAACTAAAGAATGGAATAGATGCATTCTGTACTAAGGATTCTTTTATCTAAATAAAGATTTGGTGCACATCATAGTAGGGATAATTAAAACTAATTCTCACACTGTAATCAGCTAATTAATTATTTCTTAGTATAACCTTTCTGGTTCCTGTAATTCAGAATATATATATATATATATATATATATATATATATATATATATATATATATAATTTACATTTCTATTAAATACATTTAATAGAGATTTTTTTTCCCAGCTCATTTTGATTATATTTAGGGATATTTCAGATATAAAAAGACAATGGGTGTGTATAGAAGTTAGCATTTCTAGTGTATTGTAATATACAGTTAGATGGAAAGAACTCGCAGGATATTGAAAGAGCTTCTGATCTGTGACACTTCATTAGAGTGGCTTCCTTTATATTAAATGAAATTATCATGTATTATTCAATCATTGCCTTGCTCTGCTAGAGCCAGCCTTGAATTATGTATTATATTGATATTGTGGCTTGCTAGTAAGCAGTGAATATTATGGTCTTCAACAAACATGTTTTATGGCAGCAGTAATAGCTAAGATGGAGTTTTAAATGTTCCTCATAGGAATACAGATATTAACCCTTTCCATAGTTAGGGCATGCTAGCCGTCATACAAAAGGAAGGCTTTAACACCATTAGGGTGGCATATAACCCTAAATAATCATGCCCTCCCTGAAACACAAATACTTACCCTCCTCAATGGAACTGATTAGGGGGACTGCCTGACAAACAAGGCAGTTCCCCTGCAGCCAGTCTCGCCGATTCAAGTCATGTGATTGCGATGACACTGCAATCACATGACTCGGATCAGCATGATAGACAGTTAGGCTGCAGGGGGACAGGCTGGATTGTCAGGCAGATTCCCCAACATATTATTAATAAAATCACTTATGTAATAATAAAACATAAATATACACTTAGAATATATGTATATATATAGAGAGAGAGAGAGTAAGAGTAAGAGTAGAGATTGTAGCCGTATTAGTCCAGTGATGCAGATGTAAAAATAAAATGCAATGTCACGTACATATTGATTTCAAAGCTCTCCGTGGCAGTTTTCTTATGAGCATAGCCTATCTTGTAATCTATAAGATAGCATACAAACCCATATATGATTTAGTTTTGGAAATGAAACGTCACTTGGCTAATGATCAGAACTTCTTTCTCCATTTCCTCTCCAGTTAAATGGAAAAATGCTTTATTTCAATGATCATTGTTATTACCATTTTGAAATAGTATTTTTTTTACAAATTCTCTCTGCTTTCCCCTAAATTAAATTTTAGTATTGTTAACCAATATAGATATAATACCGCACCCATCCAAACATTCAAGCGTCTGGACCTCAGAATGTAAGTAGGTCTTCGAACTTGGGTATGACTTGGGGAACCTCTGCATGGTAGAAAGGGACTGTTGTCCGTGCTGGAGGGGGTGACCCTGGTCGAATCCATGCAGCTTGGTTCCTGCTCTGGGTACAGTCTCATGATAGTGCCCAAACTGCTTACACCTGTGGCACTGTACCCCACTGCGGGACAGATATCTGGGTGCCTGTGAGTTGGAGGAGTTTCCCCCCCCCTGCTGTAGTTTTGGTCCAGGGTGATTGATGTGGGGCCTGAGCATTGGTCGGAGGTTAGGTTGTTGCTGCCTGTGAGGAGGATAGTAGTGGCCTGCTGCCCGTGCTGGGGAAGGTGGCCTTGTTTGAATCCCTGAAGCTTTGCTTCTTCTCTGGGCACAGTTCCTCCAGTAGTGTCCGACCTGTTTGCACCGGTAACACTGTATTCCGCTGCTGGGTGTCGGGGTGCTTGTGAGTTGGAGTTGTGCACTCCTGATTGGTGTACTGGCGGTCCTGGGTTGATGCTCAGTGGTCTGGGCATTGGTCTGATACTGGCTCACTGCTGCCTGCAAGTGTCCTGGTATTCATCAGCTTGGCGGGCAGCTTCGGTCAGGGTAGTGGGTTTCCTATCTCTTACCCACTCTTGTATTTCTGGGTTCAGCCCATTGTAGAATTGTTCTAGTAGGATCAGCTGCGTGATCTCCTCTCCAGTGTTGGCTTGGCTGGCTTGGAACCAGGCTAGGGCTGCTCGATGCTTTCAGCAGGCCCATTTTGTGTGACAGTCTTTCTCCTGTCTGGGCATCTCCCTGAAGCGTCTCCTGTACACTTCCGGTGTCATGGCATATCTTGCCAAAATCACTTCCTTCACCCGGGCTGTGATTTATTCCCCTGGTATGGCTCTGTAGGCTTCTGCTGCACGACCTGAAAGCTTACCAGCCAGAATTCACACCCAATCTGCTGGGGGTACTAGATACAATCTGCAGTGCCGCTCAAAATCTTGTAGAAAGCCGTCGATCTCTTCCTCTGTTTCCACAAACTTTTTTAATGCATCATGTGGTACCTTTTGTTTTGCCTCTGGTGCCTGTGTGGTAGCTGGCAGTCTCTCAAAGGCGCGCTGTTCCGCCATCCAGAGTTTGTTCTCCTGGTCTTCATTTGCTGTGATGAAGGCATCCACTTGGGCTAACGTTGCCTGTATAATTTCCATCGGGGGGTTTTCTTCGTAAAACGCTAGCCAGCGTTTTACCTCTTTATCAAACTCCATCTCTATTGTTGTGGGACCAGTCTCCCTTTGTTATAGTTCTGCTATAAGTGTAGCCTTAGCCCCAGCAACTCTTTCAATGTTGTTCTGGACACTGGACAACACACAGTTCTGGGAGTCAACTCATTTTACTAGGCATAGCACACATAGATTATAACCCCCAACAGCCTCATTTACATACAATAGAGTACATAGATTAATATAGTACAAGGAAGGGTGGGGTCAGATAACAGCAAGGGCTGATGGGAGATTGAAGAGGGACAAAGCAGCTATTTTAAACTGGTCTGGCAGTGTTACAACACCCTACTGGGAAACAATGGGACAGGAAAAGAAGGGAGGGGAAGGGGAGGGGGAGGGGAGGGGGAGAGGCACAGACAATACATTTAACATATCCTGCACCAATAATGGGCACAGGGTGAACAAAATACAAAAGGAATCTGGGGACCCATACATAGTTGGTTCAGTAAATGAACGGGGCCATACGGACAGCCGAACAAAAGGGAATAAAAGTGTAGCTAGAGCATCCATTCCGCTACAAATACATAACAGGTAATAAATATATTCAACCATGACAGGTGCATTCGGTGCTGAGCTATATTGCCATAGATCTCTTAAAAGATTTTAGATTGAATGAAGATTTGAATGTGTCCCTGAGGTTATTCCATAATTGCGGTGCTCTGTAGGAAAAGGAAGATCGAGACACTTTAATTTTGTATTGTGGTATGCTAAATATCGTGCTAGTACTGGATTGGAGGTTATAGGAGGTGGGAACAGCCGGGGAGAGCATTCTATTCAGGTAGGGTGGGAGCTTTCCAGAAATGCTCTCATGCACAAGGCTGGAAAGGGAAAGAGTGCGTCGGGATTCCAGTGACAGCCAGTTTAGCTCTTTTAACATGTCACAGTGGTGGGTAAAATAATTACATTCTAGTACAAAGCTTCAGAACGAATTATATAATGTATTAAGGTGGGTTTGGTGAATTTGTTCTGTACATAGTTGTTGATTTTGTAGTTTACGTAATTTAGGTACAGTTCCAAAGATCATTGTAACAGTTTTGTCAGTGTTTAGGAAGAGTTTGTTATCCGTTATCCACTTTTCTACCTCTGTGAATTGGTTTTGGAGCACAGCCTCAAGCTGCGGTAGCTTGGGTTTACTAGCGTAGATTACAGTGTCGTCTGCATACATGTGTACAGTTGAGTTGAGTTGATTTGCAGACGTTAGACAGATCATTTATAAATAATGTGAATAGCAGAGGGCCGAGCATTGAGCCTTGGGGAACACCACACGTGACTGGAAGAGAGAGGGAAGCGCTATCAGAAATGGCCACATATTGCAATCGGTCTGAAACATACGATCGAAGCATATGTCTGTTGCATATTATAAAAACAGGGTATGGGCCTTGTAGAGCAACTTTTTTGAACATTCCATGTTCCATACCAAGGCTCTCTGTAGTACTTATGGTGCCAGAAGTGCTCTGGAGCCCCCCATCGTAAGGAGTCAATTCATTTTTTTCCTCCTCCCTACCACTTCTTTCATTTCTTAAGTGCCGAATGTTCCGCAGCAAGGACCACCATACCAAAGAGGGCTTAGTTTACAAGATGAGATTGGTCAGCTGACACTAACAATAGTTCCTGCTGAGGGACATTCCGTGGTTATGGTACTTGTAGTGTTGCTTTACTAGAATCGTATTGTTTAAAAATTATTACTATCATTGCCATGTTGTGTTCTATTATGCTACGGTAGGAATTGAAAATCAAATTGCAAAATGTAGGCAACAAAATGCTAATTCAGAAGTTGTAGTTTAGTGAATAATGGCCTATTTGTCATACTTACTATACAGTAATTGGGGCGAAAAATACATATTAATATGTTTAAGAAAAATTTAATTGGCATTTGCAACTGGAAATTAAATTAAATGTTTTGATTTCATTAGGAAGGGGACCACGGGGAATATGGTTAAAGGTTGTGGTAGATATTTCATGTGCTATGAAATAAAGGAATGTTTAATTTAAACACACAAAATGGAAATGAAGTATTTCGTATTGCCTCCCCTTTTATTTTTATTGAGTAGTACTAAAAATGTGTCCATCATATGTTTTGTTGTAGTGTTATATAATATTCAAGACGGTTTATTCACTAAATTCTGAACTGTATTTGATAGAAATCTAAATGGCAAAGGTCATAAAAGTTGATCTGGAAAAATTCTGCAGCTATATCGACAGCTTGGCTATTTTAGCAGGTACTTTAACATTCTTCTAGAATAAACTCCAAGATACCTGTATTCTCTAAGCATCTTTTTGTTAAAGACAAGATGTAAGGAGTTGCTTTTTTTTTCTTCTTGTATTGTTGGCGATATCATGCAGATAACATTAGCTAATGTGCTCAACAATTAAAGCGGCACTGTCATGCCGAACGTACCTTTCCTCGATCGCTTCCTCTACTCTCCCTTTCTTAAGATCTATTCTTCATTTCTTCCTATCTGCTCTAGTTTTCTTTAAAACATAAGACAAAATAGGGACTACTTTGTCTTATGGAGGTTTCCTATGCTTGACCAACTTTGACCCACTTCTCGCGGTCAAAGTAATTTTCCCACAATTCTCACCTGATCTCTCGATGCCTCCTTTCACTATTCCCCAGCATCCTGTCATATATATAGGACGCCGGCAAAACTACCGAATTCCGTCCCAACAGAATGAACAGTTTGTTTATTCGTGTTAGAATGGCATTCGGTAGTTTCTGTTCGGATCGGAATTTCATTCTAATTAATAAAATTGCGATTCCAATTCGTGCAGCTGCTGCATCTTGCAGCCGCATAGTAAAGAGCTCCCCAATTCCCACTGTATTAGGGAGCTATCTACTAAAAGGCTGAAAGACCAAAACTGGTCTGTCAGCCAACTTTACTATTACTAAGTAAAAATTACTTAGTATTAGTACTTAATCTGCCACTACTCGCTATGCCCATGAGCAGCGGGTGGGGGCCCTAAATGACAATAGGAGGAGAACCTATTGCCCCCCCCCGGCCCCCACCCATGAGCAGTGGATGGGGCCTCTAAATGTAAAGAAAAAAATCTGGGGGTGACTAGGGGTCCTCAAGCCCCTAGTCACCCCCCCAAAAAATAAATAAATTTCTGTCTACCCCCCTCACCCTAAAAATAGTTAAGGGGGGACAAAAAAGTCCCTGTAAATAAAAATGTGTACTTACCATTTGAAGTCTTCTTTTATCAGACCCCAAAAATGCCAAATTAAAAGCCATAAAGCCTGTCCAATATATATAAAAAAAAAGACCCGAGCACAAAAAAAAACGAAGAAAAAATATTTACAACGTAAAAAAAAAAAATCCATGTTCACCCAGCGAGGGCACCGCGCAGACTGAGCTCCGCAGGGTTGGAAAAGGCTTATAATTTTACAACATGACAGGAGGCTTCATATTTTGCATTAAAGGAACACTATAGTCACCTAAATTACTTTAGCTAAATAAAGCAGTTTTAGTGTATAGATCATTCCCCTGCAATTTCACTGCTCAATTCACTGTCATTTAGGAGTCAAATCACTTTGTTTCTGTTTATGCAGCCCTAGCCACACCTCCCCTGGCTATGATTGACAGAGCCTGCATGAAAAAAAACTGGTTTCACTTTCAAACAGATGTAATTTACCTTAAATAATTGTATCTCAATCTCTAAATTGAACTTGAATCACATACAGGAGGCTCTTGCAGGGTCTAGCAAGCTATTAACATAGCAGGGGATAAGAAAATCTTAATTAAACAGAACTTGCAATAAAGAAAGCCTAAATAGGGCTCTCTTTACAGGAAGTGTTTATGGAAGGCTGTGCAAGTCACATGCAGGGAGGTGTGACTAGGGTTCATAAACAAAGGGATTTAACTCCTAAATGGCAGAGGATTGAGCAGGGGCATGTTCTATACACCAAAACTGCTTCATTAAGCTAAAGTTGTTCAGGTGACTATAGTGTCCTTTTAACTTTCTTAACTAACTCCATTTTTCAAATGTATTATAATCTTATAGTTAAAGAGACACTGTACTATCTTTCAATGTATTATTTTCTAAGTATTTTATATACATAGCAGCATTAGAATTATTTATTATCTTATTGTGTTTATGTTACTGTCCTGGGGGTGGCAGGGGATCCCTTAGTATTTAATACCCATTGGGCTGTTAACCGTTGCAGGGGTTATCCCCTCTCCCCTCAGTAACGGAGAATAAATATAATCTTTGTGCTGTATTGCTGCATTGTAAGTTTGTGAGACTTAGATAGACAGGCATAGCAATGTCAGTATGTCCAGATTATGGGATATTGGATAGCTTTTTTCCATGTGATATTTTTATTCTGTTTTCATTAGAAGCCTCTTCTGAGGCAACGGCGTTTCTGTTACGCTACTTGGGGTGATTTGGATTGGAACTCAACTGCAGCTTATAAAACCCCCTAATTACATGAGTGAAGAAGCAGAGAATCTTTAACGTATCAATACTGTAGCTTTAAGAAAGGAGAGGATTGCTGGCACTTTGAGAATCAAATAAAGTTTTAATAATTGTTAAACTTAAATGAATTGCATTTAGGCAATAATCCAATAAGAATAAGTGAAAGTCATTAAACAATACAAAGTTCATCAATAAGTATTTCCTCAGAGATATATTAAGTAAGATTCATTAGGTTGCTAGGAATAATCTTCAATAATGATATTTCGCAGGTAGCAATGTATTTGCAAAGCAAGAAACAGTTCCTAGTGATTAAGCTTGATGGGAGTTGTCCTCCATATAATTAGTAGCTTGAAGCAGTGACGTTTTAAGCAAGCAGTAAATAGTTAATCAATAAATGAGATAGCAGAGAATAGTTGAAAGGTATACTTAAGGTTAAGGTGAGTTATCCTCCAAGAGTTCAAAGTTATAGTCCACTTTATAATTAACAAGTATCAGTTCTCCAGTAATCCTCCATGGCATGCAGTATCATCCATGTATTAGCTCAAAGGCTAGGACGGCTTGTCAGAGTC